CAGACGGGCAAACCGGCAAGGAGCCCGGCTATTGGGCCAAAGAGACTGGCTGGTCGGCTGGTCGGCTGGCCGGCTGGCTTGGGCGAATTCACTCGCCTGACTCACTTGGTACCCACTCGGTCGGTGTGCACTGCACCAAGTCGACCGATTTGGCCAGACGATTTGCTGGCACACGTCTTGTCCCGTCGTCATATCCCATCCCATCACATCACATCACATCCCATCCCATCCCATCACATCCCGTAACCTAGTCCCGGTGGCCGGGCCGAAGCGTGCCGGTTGGTCGCCGGCCAGACGACCAATGGACGGGCAAACTGGCCCACCCCGACCGGTGCCACCGATTGGCCGCCCACGGGATCGATGGGCCGGAGTTTGCGTCGCCTGACCTGGCAACCGGAGCCCGGTTGCCGGGCTACAGCACACAGGCATCGATCAGCCCATTGCCGTGGGCCTGAAAGCGGCAGTAGCCAGGCTACAGGATGCACACAGACAGTGACGCGGGAGGGTCTACTTTTGTGTCTTTTGCTGCAAGTTGTCCGGCCGGGACGGGGCAAAACGCGCAGGAACTGGGCGCATGGCAGCCAGGCCATGTGGCCTTGCTCCGGCCCGAAGGTGGGCGAGAGGATGGTCCACGTGTGTCCGGTTGCATGGCGGTGGAGGCGAACGTTGCGGTGGTGCTGTTGGTACCGATTGCCGGTTGCCGGGCCTTCTGCTCGTCTAAACAACACGTCTGACCCATTGGAAGCGGGATTGGTGCAGGAAAAACCCACCGAATGACGGCACACCAATCGAGCTGGTCGTCGAGGTGACCTTTTAGGACGATGTCCTGCTCACTGCCTCTGCAGACGAGCAAAACTCAGAAATCAAGGGAAGGAGCTACACGCAGTTGCTATGATCCATCCCATACGTCACCTAAACTTTCGAACGGTGGCATATTTCAAAGGTCGCCCAGCCATTTGTTGGGCGAGATGGGCGAGAAAGTATGGGGGACACTTGTGGGTCACGACTTGGTGGAAGACATTGGGACAGAGATGCGGAGTAGGAAGTCACAAAAGGGCTTTTTGTTCTGCAATAAGCACCATCAAATGCTGGGAAATTAAGGCAAATGAGGAAAATATCAATCAGTTTGACCGATATTCTGGGCTTTCTGATGGAAGCATATAAGGCTGAAATTTTCACGCCGAGTTTCATTTTATACCGAATGAATGCGTTTTACAAGTTACTCAAGATCCTCAATTTGTGTCCCAATCACACAGAATATATACATAAATATTCATATATTCATAATACAAATTTTATCTATACATCTATATATAATATATGTTTATATATATATATAAATATTTATGAAAATACGCAACTAAAATAATATATTCTGGATAATTCTGGCCCTTAGGCAGGATAGATAGATATATACATCCTTATATACAATATGAATAATATATATTTATAAACATCCGGAATAAGTGCTAAAATCATCTAGAATATATAATCCTATATTTATGTATATGTATATATATATATTCCATATACGCATATATATTATATATATATATATATGTAAGATTTTTATATTCTGGATGATTCTGATATTTGTTTAGGATATTTATATATTTAAATACAATATGAATCATATATATATCATGAATTATGTATATATAAATAAAGTACGCATTTATAAATATAAAATAAAATATTCTGGATGACTTTAGCACTTAATCTGGTTATATATATATATATAATTCATATGGTATTTAAATATATATATATATCCTAAATAAGTGCCAAAATAACCCAGAATATATATAGATATATTTGTACTTATTCAGAATATGTATGTGTATATGTTTATATACAATATAAATTAAATATATTTATTTATATCTTAAATAAGTGATAAAATCATTAGAAATATCTAATCTTATATATATATATATTATATATATATATATATATATGATAAATATGATATATAAGATTATACATTCTTAATGATTTTACCACTTATTTAAGATATAGATAAATATATTTAATTCATATTGTATATAGACATATACACATACATATTCTGAATAAGAGCATATATATGTATATATATTATGGATGATTTTGGCACTTATTCAAGATATAAATATAAATATAAATAAATATATAAATATATATATTTAAATACCTTATGAATTATATATATATATTCATATATATACATAATTCAGGATATATATATAATTCATATTTTATTTAAATATATAAATATTCTGAACAAATATCATACTCATCCAGAATATATATTCTTACATATATATTTATATATAATATATATAATATAATATATATGCGTATAGGGAATATATATACATATACATAAATATAAGATTATATAT